AGACCCTGGATGTCCCCATGAAGGGCCAGCTCAGTCTGCCTTGTGCCATGCTCCTAGAACACCCTGCCAATGCTGGAGGGAGCCTGACTCACCCAGCCTCTCCTTGGGTGCCTGTCCATGCAGGCACAGCCTGCAGCAGAGCTGTAGGGAAAGATGTCATCTGGGAAAGGGAATGTCATCAGGGAAGGGAGGATGATGGCTGCCTCTGAGAGACAGCAGCAAATTAGCAGCAGCAGCCAAGCTGGGGGAGAACAAGGGTCAAGCTGGGGGATGCTGCTTCTGCTCTGAGTTTTCCTGATCCCTGGCACCTCAGGAGGGGTCCTGTGGGAAGGCAATCCATGCATGGATGTCATGGTTTAACCCAGCAGGCAGCTAAACACAGCACAGCTGCTGGCTCACTCTCCCCCACCAGTGGGATGGAGGAGAAAACTGGGCGGAGAAAGTTAAATTAATGAGTTGATAGTTTTATAGGATAGAAATGGTAGTACTACTATTATTATTATTATTATTGTTATTATTATTATTATTATTATTACTACTATACCAAAAAAGGGATGCCCAATGCAATTTCTCACCACCTGCTAACTAATGCCCATACAGTTCCCAAGCTTATATACTGAGTATGATGTCATAAGGTATGGAATATCCCTTTGGGCCATTGGGCTCTGCTGATCCAGCTGTGTCCCCTCCCATCTCCTTGTGTCCCCCAGACTTCTCAAAGTGGTGTGAGAAGCTGAAAAGTCCTTGACTTAGAGTAAGCACTGCTCAGCAAAACATCAGTGTATTATCAACTGTTCTCACCCCAAACCCAAAACACAGCATGCTACCAGCTACTAGGAAGAAAATGAATACTACCAGCTACTAGGAAGAAAATTAATGCTGCCAGCTACTAGGAAGAAAATTAACTCTATCCCAGCTAAAACCAGGACTGCAGGTCCCAGGGCATCCTGGGAGCTGCACTCTGAACCCATCCAAGATGCTTTCCAGCACTGACACCGCTGCAGGGGTGTGTGCCCTGCACTCCCCAATTCACAGCAGGTCATCAGCACTGGGCATTATCTGCTTGTCCTCTGGCCAGCTGTTGGCTCCATATTAGAGCTGACTTTAGAAATTATACTACTTCTGTGTTTCGCTATGCATTTTTACCCTCGTGTTTTATACAATAATCAAGTGCTTGGACTGGTTTTAAAAACATAATTTTTCCCTATGAAAGGGTGCCTGATGAGTTTTTGAAGGAATGCAGGCATTTCTGTTCTGTAGGGAGTGCACCTCCACAGCTTTGATACAGCTCATCAGCAAACCAAACTGAAATTTAAACATTGAAATTAAGAAGATTCTTCATTATTTCCCATTAGTTTTATGGTTATCCAAGTTGTATAATTTCTCCACACCAAAGCTGAAAGCAAAACTGGACATCTTTTTCCAGGGCTCTGGACCATGCAGAGTCTACAGAATTGACAGGGTCTCTTTTGGCTGGTGCAAGATGCTGCTGTGCCTGGCAGATCCCAGGCAGGGCTGGGGAGCCCCACATTCCTACCAGACAGGTGCTGGGATGGTTTCCTGGGACGCAGGGTGTTCATACCCATTGGCCTCCGTGCCACTTGTTTAAAGCTCCCAGGTGCAAAGAGGGGTCCTGGCTCCACAGAGTCCCTTGCGTTGCCCAAGGCACCTTGCAGCACATGTGGGAGGGTGTATTCAAACAGCCCCAGGCTCCTGGCTGGTGCTCAGAGCAGGCTGAGCTCAAAAACAGGATCTTCCCCAGCCAAGCTGGGAGTTCCAGGACACTGGGAGCAAGCACTAGGCTGCTGAAGCACAGCTACACAGGCTCCAGCTCATACAGAGATGCTACTGATTACTGCTGCAAGCATGGAGCCCTGACACAGATTTTATGGAAATCTTGAGTATTTTCTATGTTTTAATACTGGGGAAAAAAAATCCCCTCTTTTTATTTGGAATAATAAAATATAGGAACTGCTTTTTCACCACCCCATTTTTCTCCTTTCTGAGAGAAATTAGATCTTTCCTTAGAAGAGAAAAATTCCCTTCACTGAAAGGGAACTGCTCCTTTCTCATGTACTGTAGCACAGGGGGACCACTATGGAGTCAGATACTGTTTTACTTGCAGTCTTCTATGGATTCTCCAGGAAAAGAAAAGAAAAGAAAAAAAGAAAAGAAAAGAAAAAAAGAAAAGAAAAGAAAAGAAAAGAAAAGAAAAGAAAAGAAAAGAAAAGAAAAGAAAAGAAAAGAAAAGAAAAGAAAAGAAAAGAAAAGAAAAGAAAAGAAAAGAAAAGAAAAGAAAAAGAGAAAGAAAATGAAAAGGGGAAATGATGGGAAAATGATCTTCTTATTCTGCTCAGTGATTTATTCCTTATTTTGGTTAACAATGATTTATTTTCTTCTTGCTAGCCTTGTAGTAGAAGATACAGTTGCCTGAAACCACAGAAAAGCTTTGCACAATGCATATTAATCTCACTCAGAAAAAGGTTTAAAATATGACTTTGCATCGCTCTGAAGACAGTATTATTCTCCAAATAACTACTATGTTCACAGTGGTCTTAAAAGAAAGCAAATAGAAATGAAATACAAAATTATCTCTGTTACACTTAGGCAGACAAGGACTTTATGAAAAAAGAGGTCCAAGTAGATAGAGTTGCAGTTTTATTCAGCAACTAGTCTTAAAGACTATACATTTGAGATACTAAAATGCCTAGAGATGTCTCAGAACAACTTCAGTTTTCTCAGAATTAGATAAGACTCATGAATGTTACCATCCTGATGGGTAAAAAGCCTAGAGATGGTCATAAATAAAGCAAGAGGCTTTAAGAAGACAAAATCAAGTGGATATGTGGATAAAAATACAAAAATTCATGGTAGTCATGGCATTGCATGGGGTAGCTTCTCAACAGAGGTAACCCTCTCAGTAACTGCAGATATTTTATTAAATTCAAATATGAAGAATCCACTGTGGCATTACAAATATGGCACTTTCCATAAGAAGGGTATCAGTCAGCCTGCTACTGGAGAAATCATTATCTACATCTCTTCATAGGTGTTGGCTATAATATGTCCCTAAAGTAATACAACCTACAAAGCATCAACAGCTCCATATGGAATCATAAATTATTTTCATATACTTATCAAAAGCCAGACAGAGGGGCACATGGTTCTGGTGAAAATGTCCAGCATTCAGGCACCTACAAATACTTGACCACCACAGCAACAGATTTTAAACTGTCTCTGGAAAGTTGCTGGAAGCACAGATAATGTTCCTATAAATGTTATCAAATCTGAGGCAACTCAAAGCAGAAATTAAAGCTTCTCTAATTTTGCCTTCTCACTCACAGTTCCGATGACTCACATGTTACCTATCTTAGATCAGTGGGCTTCTCCCATGACTCAAGTCCCCAGACAACTGCCCTGGGTACCCTTACAAGCTACTCATCCTCTGAGTAAGCCTGTGTATGGCACTGGGCTTAATTTGGTGCAGCAGTCACATGCAAAGAGAGAATGGGTCTCCATAAAATTCTCGAGTGCTATTGAATGTTTTGGGAAGGACACTGCCCCCTTACTACAAACTGCTTAATGTTTTCTGGCAAAAGAGGTCTCAGAGGCCACAGTAGAGAAGAATATGTAATGGAGAAGGCAGAGAGTTTCTAAAATATGTTTCAGCTTACCCCATGTTATATATCTTGTCCATCATGACATAAGACAAATGCGGGTAGAAGTGTTTCATGGCAAATGAAGGTCATTCTTTGGGATTTGGAAGATGGAATAAAGTAACAAATAACAAGGTAACACATAATTTTTGGTGTTTGGACCTCGTCAATTTATGTGCACTTCTTGAAATAGTGCCCTGTGGAAACCTGTTTAAGTCACACACAAGGAATTGCACAATCCAGTACTTGTCAAAGTGAAGTATTCTACTTTGTGAAGGATTAACTTTGCCTCTCAAAACCAGCTGTGCATCTGCAAAATTACTTACAGATAAGTTTATTTCCCTCTCTTTCCCATTATTCACAATCTGATTTACTTAATTTATTTAAGCCAGGACCTCTTTTATGGATTCTTAAAAGAGAATGGATAACAGGGGAGACTTAGACTGGGCATTGGGAAGCATTTCTTTACCAAGAGGGTGATAAACCATAGTAACAAACTTCGCAGGGAGGTGGTCAATGCTCCAAGCTTTTCAATGTATAAGAGGCCTTTGGACAATGCCCTTAAAAAACAATGCTTTAATTCTGGGTCAGCCCTGAGTGATCAGGATGAGATGACCACTGTAGATCCCTTCCAACTGAAATTGTTTATTTTATTCTGTGCTATGCTGTGCTGAAATGACTGAATGGCATTCTGAACATATATGGAATTCTTTAACTGGACACCACTAGTAAGCATTGCAAATTATTTTGTTTCCATTAGCATTTAATTGGTTTGATCATTCATGTTTTCATCCCTGAGAGATTATTGAATGAATTTTTTGGGGTCAAACAATACCTTGGTTTTTCTTATTTTAAAGAAAACTGGACAGTGATATAGCAGCCACAATAAATACATCCTCAAAGCAAAATATCTTCAGCTATAAATTTAAGCTTTTGCATTTTGATCACACTTTTAAAACCACAAAGTTTAAAATTAACTGTAAAGTTCATTAAAAAAAAAAAAAAAGACAAAATAGCACTTAAGAGGTGTGGTTGTTCATTTGATATTTGCACGGCTAATAAAGTATATTATTGATATTCAGTATCAATATCAATGAATACAGTATATTCACTGATGTGAATATTCCCTTAAAGAAACAGAAAATTGTTCCAGAAATGTGTTAGTTAATTTTGAATCAGGCACTAAACAGGTCATTCAAAATCCCATAGTTGAAAAGTTGAGTCATTGCAAAAAGGAAACATTTGAGTAAATAAGAAAATGCACACACCATGACCCTTCAGACAATATCCTCTTTTTTTAGATACCACAGCATAACTGTGCCTAAAATGGGAGGTACATTGTTGTTGATCTGGAAATGTAGCAATCGTTCTTTTATTCATCACATGTATCCAAGCAGTACCTGTATCTGACTGCAAACAGAAATGGAAGCAGTTTCAGCAAATTAAATACTGTTCTTGGCTGCCTAGAAAAAAGGGGAAAAAAAAAAAAAAAAAGGAAAAAGTGATCTGGTTAAATACCTGTGAGTTCATGGCTCAGCTCATGAACTGCATCTCTCCATTCTCTGACATGCATGAACTTTCTGGGTAAGCTATCTTCCTCCTACCTTCCATTTTGCTAGGAAAAGCTCTCTTGAGTTTATCAATCCTTGTTGTGCTATTAATGAAGCCATCAGAACAGAAGGGCTGGCTCAAGGCATAAAAACAATAGCAGACTCTACATTTCAACCAAGTACCTAAACAGTGGCACGTGTTAAGAGCAAGCCCTTATGTGATGGATGTAGGCAACACTGGGCTCATGTTGACTGCAAAAAAACCTGCAGGGAAGAGTTGCCTGCTTTATCAAAACTCCCAGCCACAAACCATCCTATCCTCAAAGCAGGAAGGCAGGCCACAGCCCCATGTACCCGATGTAATTCTCCCTTCACATTAAATGCTAAACATAAAGTCAAAGACAAGCTGTATAAGTTGTAGTCAGGCATCTGTGGAGATAATTGCAAAGATTACCTCTATTTTCAGACTCCCCAAAGAGGAGTTTCTTTATCAGCCCCTTTGGAGAAAGATGTAAATAATAGAATCTTTATGCTCACTTGATTTAACTCTACATGCTCCCAGTGTTCCATCACCCAGAACATTTAATGGAACCACAAGAAGCTGCTAGGAGTAGGAGAGCTCAGTTGTGATCCCACATAATTTAGGATTATTTAAGATTCTGGCAGGACACTCCAAGTAAGCGAAGCACCATGTAGGAGCCAAATGAGGAAAGAATCTGGTTCGTCCTAGTGTTGAAAGACAGCTGACCTTTGAGCAAATCCACTCATAGTTGTTATGTACCAGAGCAGGCCTGAAGTAAAGACAACAACAAATGATGCCTGGTGATGACAGCTAAAACCAGAGTCCTAAAACATCTATCTGCTGAGCAGAGCCAAGCAAAGCATCAGCTCGTGCCTCTGATCACAGGCCACCAAGAAAGAGCAGCAGCATTCCTTGGCACATTCAGGGGATCCCATGGCTATTTTTGACAACTACCAGGTGGTGGCAAGCCAATACATTCTGCAGATGGGCAGATGATCACATCTTGTTGCCAAAAAGCTTTAAGTTATTTACTCTCTTAAAGAGGACCACAATATTTCTAAGCTCCATCCCAGGCAGCAGCATCTCAGCACAGGGTGAGCTGAGAAAAAGTGTCCAGCAGGTGATTTGTCACTTCAGCTTAATTCTCAGAAGATAAAGCAGAGCTTGGAGTGTTCTTCCAGCCAGCTCAGGGGAGCCTTCAGAGTTCCCTGTACACCACCTGGAGGAGGATTGTGTCAAGACCATGAAGGTGCCTTTGCCACAGCTGGTTCTTCTGAACACAGACATGTTGTTGTGCAGTGCATCTTAGACAAACAGTGCAAACATAAATCTGTTCAAATTTGAGGGGTGCTTTATGGAGAGCTGAAGCCCCTTTGAGCAGCATGCTTCTGACAGCAGAAAATAAATTGTGTGAATCTTATGCCAACTGAGAGCATCCCTTTTCAGCATTTTCAAACACAATGTCACGTAGGAGGATGCCAGAGAAGTAGTCAGAAAACAAAAGAAACTTCAAGCCTGGGTCTTGCAAGTCTCTAGTGGAAATGGTATTCATGTCAAATGACACAAGTGTCAAACATGAGTCACTGCTGCCATTTCTCCCTTCCCACATGAGGGAAATGTATACTCTGTGGTCAAGGCAGAGCGGGACAGGATGATAGATATTAGCCAGTTAGACTTCAGTGCAAATGAGCTGTTAGGGTTTAATAAAAGTGTCTCTCTATAATGCATACTACATTTCCATAGCACCAAATGAAGGGCTGGAAACTGAGTCTTACAGCCAGTGTGAGTTTACCAACATTTCAGTGGCAGAAAGCAATAGTCTTGGAAAGCTCTCCTGAACCGCTGCCCGCATTTGGTAGCTGTGGTGACTAATACAAAGCTGTTGTTTTAAAAACAGAATTAGAACAAGAAAGCTGCATTTTCCTCCCTGATTGTAGGCCAAGTGCCAGAAGTGACTGACAGCTTGATCTGTCAAACAAGAAAACTTTAGGTTGGGGGTGTCGTTATTTAGACAGGAGAAAGGTGATGTACCTTTGAAAGTGTGCACACATAAAGCATGTCTTTTCATTTTGAGAGCATGGTCTTACATAAAAGGGGCTGCTTAAACTAAGAGCAAAGTGGGCCAATCCTCAGCCACTGCAGTATTGTGAGCAAAGCTCCAGCAGCTCACGAATGCTAGGAATCTGCCCTATTGTCTGCCTTTCTACCCCACTTCATTGTCTGTGAAGTTTGCCCTCAGTGTACCCAAGTTTAGTGTACTTCAATAACTCAGTCAACAGAGGGAAGCAGATGGCAAACATTCCCTCCCAGAAGGCTGGGGCTTCTTTCTGGTATCTTAGTGATAGGAGAGCTATCACAGATGCAAACCCTCTGGCCAGCACCACTGTGCTTTGCCATCAGGTTTCCTCTCTTGTCAAGGCATCACTGACTCTTAAACATCAAAGTGACCTGGTTTAGTTTTGGGACTAGCAGTGTACATGGTTTCACTTCTTCTGCAATTTGTCCAGATAAAAAGATATCAGCTGGGAAAAAAACTGCTAACACTGATCCTTCCCTGCTCATCTGGACACCATAAAGGCATGCATGTAGTTAAGGTCACACTGTGTCATCCCTGGCATGTGATGTGCAGGCTGGGCTATCTCTGAGAATACAGGAGGAAGTTCGGGGGCCAGGAGGGAGGATTTGCTGTGTTGCCTGAAAGTGCTCTTATTTTTTTGTCTGTGAGCCTGCAGGACTCTTGACAGTTCAGTGTGCCCGATACATTCCACTATTTTCTCATTTTTTAATAACACTTAATTCAAACTTATGAATAGTGACTATTTCACCAGAGCATAACCATAACCTGTCATCTGGAATAGGCATTTGCAGTAGTGCAATGCTTTTACTCCACAGAGATACAGCTCCAGAACAGAAGGATATCTTCTGACACCAGATTACTTACTGTAAGGGATATCTCAGTGTTCAATGGCACTGAATTCATTATTTGTCCATTTTGACCACGTCAGACTTTAGCCCACAGGTTCCAGGGAGAAACAGCAATCTCCAACTGCAACTGTGACCTCATCCCCCTAAAGACAACAGGGTGAAACCTCTAATTATTACCCATGGTGCCAAGTCTCTGCACAGGTTTTTTGGTTTCTTTTTGATTTTTTTAAAGAAATTTTCTTTCCCTTATGCCATAAATGTTAGAACTGAGCCCAGACACAGTTTCTGGCCTCAGAGGGAGAAGAAGGAAAACCCAGGAGAATCAGCCCATTGCACCCCAACATGCAGAAAGCCACAGAGATGTCAGGGCACAATACATACTATAAAATTCTTTGCTGGAACAAAAGCACCCTCATTGCACTCTCATTCTCTTTTAAATCAACAGAGTTGTAAAAGTTATTTCTATAGGCATCTATTTTCTCTCTCTCATAAAATGGTATGAAAGCGTTTCCCAAACAGCCCCGTCACTATTGTGCAGCCGACACCCCCGCCCCAAACGGCGCTCCTTCTCTCCCATGGGCCACGCCACTGAATGCAGCAATCGCTCTGCTGCCTCACAGCCTTCCTCCTCTTGTGAAAGACAGAGAATAAGCCAAAATTGTTCCAGAGACACTAATCTGTATTTTCTGTAAGCTTCCTAAGAAGAGACACAACCGACCTATTTTGAATGTCCTCCAGAAAAGTTTTCCTACCCACTCTATGAGGATTTCCTCTTTCTGTCCTTAGAAAGGATTGCAAAGCAAGTCCTAACAAGTCCTAATTGCCTTTTTTATCCCTGACATCAACATGTGAAGACCACTTGCCGAAGGTGATAAGAGCTCCTTGTTCATTCCTTGAATACATCCCTGCCATCACCCCAAGTTAGAGATTGGCCATTTTAAGCATCTGAGCCATGTGTAGGCACAAATGCCTTGCTGAAGCATCTAGCTGTTTATTAGTGCCACACATTTGTCACTGTTCCTGCTATCAGACAGTAGAACTAGAGAGGCAACAGAAGGGAAGCAAGCAATTAGTTAAGGGGAAGATAATCTATTGTATTGTTTGTGCCCAGGGAAGACTTTAGGAGCTGTGTCTGCAGAAATTCAGGATCTGGGCCGCCTTGTGCAAAAGGAGTGATGTTTTATTGTCAGCTTCTCATCCAAGTATTTACATTCATTTCATGAACAGAGGCAACTTCTGTCAGAATAAAGGTTCACTATCAGCCTCATCTGATAGCGATCCTATCTCTTGTGTCCAAGCAACTGGTACATCACACAGGGCTGGAAACTGCCATAACACTTCTGGCAAGTGAATAGGACTGAGGGGACTATCCCCTCCTTTCAAACGTGAGCCCCTTTTCTCAGCCCTCGCTTCTTCCCACAGTCCCAACAAGTTTCCTTTCATGCCTTTAACTCCTCCCAAAGCTGCACTCTAAATGCCAACTTTCACATCCTAGACATTTTTATTACTGCACATTTTCCACTGGGATCCCAGCCAGCACCTCGCCATGTCCCTGCCGTGATCCAGTGCCACAATGGCAATCTGTGCCACCTCAACAGTCTGCAGCTGTGCATGCCCCATGATCACACAGAGCCCTCAAATGGGTATTTTGCTCCCCTTAAACCCATTCTTGCCTAGATCTGGTCCACATGAACATCACCTATATGTGTCACCCCTGTTGAAGGGGTCTCAGCAGCAAATCAAAGACCTTCAGCCTTACTGAAAAACCATACACATGATAATTTGAGACATCATAAGTGAAGCCATGCCTTCAAATAATTTATTTAAGACCTAGTACATTACATACAAAAGACTGTGTTAGAAACACAATGTTGAGGTTTGAACTCAAACACAAAAAAACACATCTAAGGGAAGTATTAATTTTGCCTACAAAACCTGTTTCGTTCCAAACACTGGCTGGATTTCCTTTCTTAAGGGTGTAGTGAAGGTGCTTGTTGCTGAAATGGCTGAATGTGTTAGGAGACCTCTGAGTGGAAAATACAGTCTTAGAGCTAAGGGTAAAGTGGGTTCTTTAAAACTTAAACTGGATTCTTTATTTTTTGGCTTCCATTTCCTTAAGTGCTGTAGGAGACTAGAAAAAGTCTTCCTAAATGTTCCGTGTGCTGAAACCCTGATATGGGAAGTAACTCAGGCTGATGTGAAGAGTTATTCACTCTCTGGGGCTGCCAGAAAATCAAGAGCAGCTGTGCTTTGAATCCAGAACTGCTGCAGAAGTCCTGAAGCAAAAAAACCAACCCAGTTTGAAACACCTCTGCCGAGGAGCTGAACTCTTTGATTTTCAACTTTCTGAGTCCCAGATTCTTACCCAGAATATAGTGCTACAGCTCCACAATACCCTGCAAATATCACCTAACTTTGGGGATAGGCAGATGCAGTAGTGCTGAGACTGAAAAGCCCTGGTGATAGGGAGTTTATTAATGAAAACCTCCTCTTTAAAATCAGGCTTCAGCATAAGAGGGGTCTCAACTTTTCCCTGGTGCCCCTCTCACTTGCCTGGACTATGCTTCATTCTGCAACTTCTGCAGTCTTAGAGCAAAATCAGGCTAGGTGTTGCATAGAAGTTCAGTGTACAAAATTATCTTCATCACCTCTCCCTGTCCCACAGGATTAACAGCAGTGTTGCAAAAGTACAAATGAGTGAGGAGCAGACACTGTCACCAAAAATTAAATCTGAGGTGGCACTAGCCCCTGGCAAAGTCTTCTCTAGCCTTTTTCAGTCAGTCAGACATAGTTGTTAAGGGAACATTTTTGGGGATGTGTCAAATGCAATCTCATAAAAATCTCTTTTCTGATGGGAGTTTTAGGTTATAAAAGTTAATGCAATGCAGATAGCTGAGTTGAACAGGCTGTTTCCCAATAGACTCTGGTATAAAAAGTATTGCATTATATAAAGCTTGAATCACAGCTTTCTCAGCAACTGTTTGGTACAGACTGGGTATCTATCTCATGAAAGGCAATGAAAATAGTATGGAGAGAAGGCTGTACTTCCTAGGAGAAGACCTGGCAATAAGATGGAGATTTTGAACCTTTTTTTCTTTCCCATTAAAAAGTATACAGCCAAAGTGAAAGCTAAAGAATAATTTCTTTGTTGTTCCCTCTTTATTTAAAAAAAGCAGAAAGTCAGACTGTCTGGCTAGCACATTATGAAGATATTGATGCATTAAAAAAAAAAAAATTAAAAAAAAATAAAAATAGGGATCTTTCTACCCGGAAACCTGTTGTGTCACTCCTTCAGCTTTGTCCCTGGGGGCAGACCATGGGAATTCCCAGTCTTGGGCCCCTGTGGCTCTCAGCCAGCCCTGCTATTGAGGCTGTGCTTTCAGCCTGGGATGTTGCTGTGCTGCAGGGTCAGAAAATAAGCCTTCAGTCTGTTTCCTGGCAGGATGAGGTCGGGTCTGAGGGGGCTGTGTAAGGAGTCCTGCAGACCTCTGTCAGCACCACGAAGAAGCAGGGAGTTTTCTTACCTCCCAGAGAGGACAGAAAAATTAGACAAACTGCTGCTAGCCTAAACCAGCAACAACCCAAAGACTTCTAGAGTCCCATAATGTATTTTGCTTTAGTTTCTTTCTTGGAAAAAAGAAGAGTGGAGTGTCTTAATCATTCAAGGCTGGCTGAGGAGAGTACGTGGGATTTCAACTCTCTTCTTTGAAACAGCCACGGATTTAACAGTTGAGGGAATGACAACCATTTAGCATTACATTTGCAATCACACCTCTTGGTGTGCTTGGTTAATTTGGTGCCCCAAATCCCAAATGAACAGATTTGTAGCCATGTGATAGTTCAGGCCCTGGCTTCATGTGGGAACTGCACCTGCCCCCTGCTCAGCCCAGACTGGTTTATGTGGTGGGAAAGGTCAGTGCAGCTGGAGCTGGAGTACCGAGGGCCAGAACTTGGAAGCCTATTGGAAGGTTTTGTCTTCAAAAGAGCTTCTCCTTCTTCTTGCATGGCATTTACAGCACAACAGGGACTAATGCACCTTCCCTTCCCCACACCAACTTAGTGGATATTTGGGCTTGGCACACAGGTATGTGCACATTAGCATCTTTACCTATTCCAATTCTTAACAGGGTAAAGTGAAATCATTCTTATTCCTGCTGCTATTTTGGGGAAGAAAAAGAGTCATTCTGTCATTGCGTGCTCCAGAAAACATGAAAGTCTCTAAGGAGCCCAGGCTTCCTGTTACCAATGCCTTAAACTTTGCCCCACCTTTGGGAAGCACAGGCAGCTAGTGGAAGAATGTCATCCACTCTAACAATTGATTTTCTTATGTACAATAACGTCAGACCTTTTAAATAAAAGGCTGACCTGTCTCCTTCTAAAATAATTCATCTGTTTTATGGAGTGTTGTTCTGATTATATACAATTCCCACAAGAAGGGAAGTACCTTTAAAATAAGGACTATTCAGTACTAGTACAGGATTTCCTCTTGTTGTTGATAATTTCCTCCTAACAGAAGACGCAATGAATCCCAGAGAAATTCAAAGGGGTAATCTACAGACAGTTAGGCATCTACATTATACAGGGAACATTGTTCAATCACATTGATATTTTCCTGATGAAGTAAAAAACAGATATACCTGCTGTGCAGCATATAAAAGAGTTCCTACAGCACACATTTCAGTTCCCTCTGCTACAGTTTTAATCACTATCCAATCCCACAAACTTTCACATAACTATCCCTGAACAGCAACAAATGACATTTTTTCTCTTTTCATCTTTTGTTATTGAAATCCAGCCTCTGAAATGGCCTCTGCTGTTAAAGAAGGCAGGCTTGGTGACAATGAGAAAAATCACCTAGTTATGATCAGCACTATCTACAGCAGATATATAACATGAAAGAAGTTTTGTGTTCTCTCTACCAGATGTCCCTTGACTCAGAAAGAGGTTTCATACTCACCTTCATTTTTCACTACTGGTCAGAACATGCACCTGCCCTACTCATGTATGTGAAGGAGACCTGATACCTACAGAAATGGGTAATCCATGCTGGGAAACAGCGTATCAAAACCCAGGAGCTAAGCAGCAGCACTAACAAGTA